AGATTAAGGGGCAGTGGGCGTGAGTGTAACAATCAGGGTTGTGACAAGACGATGAAAATAGATTAAGAAATGCAGAGTTACCACCAATGTTTATTTTAGAAAAATCATTTAATAGAAAGTGGTCTACAAAAACATACTTGAGTTCGGTAGTTGGTTACATGAAGAGAATGTATATTGGGAGGGGTTTTGGCTAAAGGGTAATTTAGTACTATTAGGTTTATCATCAAGGTTCAGACCCAACAAAGTTAGTATAAATAGTGACGTTTGATGAAGAAAAAGGTACTTTTGCATTTATTACAACATTTATTGCATTGACTTGTTTGAAATCAAGGATTAACTTAAGTTTTGGAGTGTTTTTTGCATGTATTTTCCCTTACTTTTTTGGTGAGGTATGCCTAAGGATAATTCGTATTGATATTAAAGGTAAAACCAATGTTTGTATGAGACCTTTCAGGTAAGTCATACCAAAGAATATAAGGATATGAAGGACAAAGACTATGAAGTCAAAAACTTGTTATATGAGGATTGAGAGTGTTAAAATTATCCGTTACCCTTATGTAAGTATAAAAAGTATTAGTATCTTACAACGCTCAATAAAAATTTATCGAGGAGAAAGAAGTAGAAACCCTGTTGATGGCAATTGAAGATGCAAAAAATAGCGAGGCAGAAATTTGGTATGTTGATACTGGCTGTAGTAATCACATGAGTGGAAGTAAGTCATCTTTCTCATATTTAAATGAAAATTTTCACTCTACCGTGAGCTTTGGTGATTGCTCTACTATGAAAGTGATGGGAAAAGGTGATATAAAAATAAAAACCAAGAATGGTTTTGTAGAAACAATTTCTAATGTGTTTTATGTCCCTGACTTGAAAAGCAACTTGTTAAGTGCTGGTCAATTACAAGAAAAAGGTTATGAAATTTTTATTAGCAAAGTCTCGCCCATTGTGTGCATGGGATGTATCTTGCGCGGCTTAGCTACCCTGACGAGACTCTGGTAGTATATCCTTCTAGTGAGAGTGCGCAGAGGGTGTGACCCGGCATGTACTCCTAGACTACTCTTCGTGTATTGCTAGCGGCAATATGCCATGTGATGTTTTACTGGCGCCACATGCATGATAAT